TACGAATGAGCGTCGCCTCATGGCGCGTTGCGCTTAAATGTGCATGCGGCGTCTTCAGCGCCGGCAACAGTGTCGATGCGCGTCCCTTCCAGAAATTTTCCTTTGGCGTGAGAAAACGAAGCTTCTAGAAGTTTCGAAGGCGTCCCTTTTTTGTGAGTGCTGGCAGTAAATAATATTTCAAATCGTAAACTTGCTCGGACTTGCCGAGTTTTGTTTGTAAACATCTTTCTCGAGTGCCCGCCTCGGTCCGCACGTGCGGATCAGCCTAGGCGCACGTGGTGGCCAGCCTTGCTGCACGCGCGGTCAGTTTAGGCGCACATGCGGTACGCCGGACTGCGTAAATGACCTTTCTTTTGTTTGAAATTCATGGGACTGCTTCAATCCCGAACAATACATAAATAGCAAATTTTAGTATTAAACTTATAAAAATACGTTTTATGGAATTAGGTAATAATTACATGATTATAAGAGAAAGTTCATTTTTAAAAGATAAAAAGTAATAAAATCTCTGCATTAAAAAATCCTGTTCAGATTATTGTAAAATAAAAATAATTTCAAAACTAATAATAATACAAAGTATATATATATTTATACATAAATATTAATATTTATAATTCCTCTTCAATTATTCAATTGTATTTGTCTACTTCTTATTTCAACTTTTAGCTTATTCAATTATTCATGAAATAAGACCTCCAGAATTTTACATCAATACACTCCACTTGCAAAAAAGTGAAATAGATGATAAGAAATTTTCAAAGCAATAAATTAATAAATAAGATGTATTCATTATAAATATCTATACAATACAGTTTCAATATATCTTAAACATGTATTTGTAATGATACTTGAATATTAGCCTGTATACAATAATTTCTCTAAAAAATGTTTCTTAAAAAATATATGCTAATATTATTTGAATAAATTACTAGATCTTATTTATAAATACTCATTTAATTTTATATGGATGTATCAACGGAAATAAAAAATTTTTATAAGAAATATAGGTAATTAAAATAAAAGTAATAGTTATTCATCAAGCTCCTGTGTATTTTAAAATAATGTATTTTACTTGTTTCTATTTATTTAGTTAGTGTTAGGGATTCCGAGAATTTCCAAGCTTTCCGGTTCTCGTAATTCTATAAATCTTTTGATTCTCGGAATTATCAAAGCCTTCGGAATTTCTATTAGCACCTAGCAACACCTATCGCATCCATTGTTGCTAGTTCAAACTTGGCTGTCGCGTGTATATGTAAAACAAGCACGCTTTGAAAAAGCGCTCTCTCTTAGTGAGGCTGTCATGGAGGGAAGAGGTGTTGTTTTCCTGTACGTATTTATTAACTGTCAGTAAAAAGTATTGACACCATCTCCTTTTCAAAAAAATACTAGACTACAAGAAACATAGTATCGATTTTCTCCTTGCCACGGAGAGTATATAATCCATTGCTAATCCTTACAAGATCAACAACAGCATCGTTACCATCATTACGAAGCCTCTCGTGATATTGAACTATTCATTACAGGATCAGATCAAGGCAATTGAATCGCTGTGACTGAACATAGCATCGACACACTCTCCTAAAAGAAGTAAATTCATCTTATCAATAATGTAATTGTCACTAAATCATAATAAACCATTTAAAACGAAGTATGCACATACTATATATCTCTACAGCCCTCCCACTGTCTTTAAGTAACTGTTTAAGTTAGTCTTTAACTAACCATCCGCTAAGGCGGGCGGTAAATTTAGTGAACTATCGAACAGTTACATAATATAGACTAAATTTGATAATAGTACTTAAAACTGAAAAATTATTTTTAAATACTGTTTTGATTTATGTATAATAAGTAAACAAGTTTTAAACATGGCATTTTATTAAATAAAATAAGATATGTACATAAAAAAAAGAAATATACAATAATTTTTTTTAATTTTAAATTGGGACCGTCTATAATAAACTTTATATATATAGTTATAATAGATATCATTGAATTCGCAGCAACTTGATATTCGGTTTCAATATTATAGTTACAATAAATATATTAAACAAATTTTTAAGTCAAAGTAACAACCAATAGTATAAAATCTAATTTAATATAATAAGCATTACATAAATTGAAAGTGTAATGTTTAAAAATAAGACTATAATAGTAATAATATTAATAATAATAATAATAATAATAGTAATAATAATAATAATAATAATAATCCAATAATAGTATAGAATCATCACAAAAATATCAATCAGTATCAGTAATTTTCCAAAATAATTATATGTTGCTTAAATTATGACAATTTTTATTTTACTAGATTACTATTAATTGATGTTAGATTAGTTAATTCTAAACAAGGTTGTTATTCAAATTGTGATATTATCTAAAGTTTGATTATATTATCAACTACATATATTTCAATTTTATGCAACATTTTATTAAAAAATTAATCATTTAATAAAATTTTTAATGAAATATCATATAATGTGATGTATTTAAATTATTTTTATATCAAGTAAGTCATTTTTAATTATAAAGAAATTATAGATTATAAAAAAAAACAATGATCCATGTAACCTTGACTTATTTTTATTCCTCTTTCTCTCTCTCTCTCTCTCTGTGTGCTTTCTATTTTGATTGTCCTACCTA